AAAAAGATTTCATCGCACTTGCTGCGAGGGTATTGTCTCTGAATACGATGTCTCACCCCTACACAAGCGAATAGACACGCAATCAAAGGACAACAACATTGTGAAGTGCTTGCAAGTGTTAGTAGATGAAGTTAATTCTATCAAAAGTGCTATTGCTTGCTCGGCCAACACCTCGGCAGGCATTGTGATCAATAGCAATAGTTTTCCAACTGTTGCTCCTGAGTCTTCTAGTGCGGTCTCTCCCTCGCATATGTTGTTTCGTACTAATGATGTGAGTGCTGTGTCTACAGTTGTTTCGACGCGATCCTCACTTACTGCTAACAAAGGGTTTGTCACCAACTCGAAGCCAACAATCGGCGCAGCAGTTGAAAGTGATGCTGCTGCGCAGTCTTCTGCCGTTATTGACGTCGACGAGTCGCTGCCTGTGAATTGTGTTCAAACTGACGTTGTTAATGCTGAACTTGAAGCTGCTGATGCTGTTAATGCTACTGACACGGGTGTGTCTGCCTCTCCTTCTCCTACCCCTTGGCGGACAGTGGAGAACAAAAGAAGGAGGCAAAGTCGTAAGCCGGTGCGTGTGGTTGGATCCAATGACTGCAGTGACCTAGGTGTTGCAACTCCATTTAAGTGGTTGCATTTGTCATCTTTTTTGCCAACAGTTTCTTGTGATAACATTATTGAGTATGTGGGGAATCACACTGGCATTGATAAGAGGCGCATTTCTTGCTACAAGCTCGTTAAAAAAGAGTCGAATCTCGAATCACTAACACACGTGAATTTTAAGCTTGGGGTCTGCGCCCACAACTTCGATAATCTGTTGAGGCCTGAGTTGTGGCCAGCAAATGTTTCTGTTCGGCCGTTCCGTTTTTTTCAAAAATTGCCGCAACAAATGCAACTGAAGTAGCTCATGCGCGCTGGCATAGTTGTTTATTATCAGAATCAGCAGACACTACAAAGCCAGTCGACAGCACTACCAGTGTGGTTGCACATAGTAAAATCAAAATTTATTTTCAAAATGTTTCTGGAATGAGAACTAAAGCTGATGTAGTCCGCAGATTGAGCTCACATTTGGATTTTGACATATTTGTAATCGTCGAAAGCTGGTTAACACCTAATTTCTTTGACTCTGAATTCTTCGATCCCGATCTATATAACGTTTATCGCAAGGACCGTGACGAAATCAGGTCGGGCCTGTCCAGAGGCGGTGGAGTGCTTATAGCAGTTCAGCGTAGATTGTGCTCGTCGATGGTTCATCTTCAAAATAATGATTCTATCCTCGAGCAGTTGTGCGTGAATGTTCGGAGTTCCTCTGAACTTCTCTTTGTATGTGTCTCTTATATTCCACCGAGCAGTTGCTTCGACATATATAGAGCGCACGTTGATAATGTTTTGAATCTCAGTTCAAGGATTGGCGAACACCACCTCTGTGTACTAGGTGACTTTAATTTGTGTAATGTATCTTGGAATAGCTTTAATAACTCCTCGTCTTTTACCGCGGTTAATGCGACTACAGACAGTGAGTTATACGTAACTGATAGTTTCCTAAGTATTGGTCTTCAACAAATTAATGGAATTATAAATAATTATAAGCGTATTTTAGATCTTATTTTCATTAGCAATAATGTAAGTTATTGGGTGTTTGAATGCCCTTCCCCAATAACCCGCGTAAATAATATAATAAGGAATATGATCCTATGGAGGTTCATATTAAATTTTATGTTTTCGCTACTGTTCCTCCTGAGAGATGCCGACCAACTTTTAACTTTAGTTCGTGCAATTTTGATCTCTTAAATAGCCGTTTTCATGATTATGATTGGAAACACATACTCAGCAATTTGGATGCTAACGCTGCATACAATGTTTTTAAAAGTAGTATATATGAGGCGTGTGTAGAAATAGTGCCTTTAATTACGAGGAAGTTGTATAAGTTACCATGGTACAATAAGGATCTAAAACGACTCAAAAATCGTAAAAATAGGCTTTTTAAAAGATTTAGGGCAACTAGGTCCCAATCTGTGTTCGTCAGTTATCAGTACTGCCTTAGGAGCTTTAATGCCTTGGACAAGATTCTCTATAATAAGTTCATTAGTAAAAGTGAAGCAGACATTAAAAACAACCCTAAAGCATTTTGGAGGTTTGTAAAATCTAAGAACGCTAAGTCGAGTGTGCCGTCCTCAGTCTTTTTGAATGACAAGGAGGCCAACACACCTGCTGACGTAGCCAATCTATTCGCAGAATTTTTCTCCTCCAATTATGTCTCGGATTCTAATGTTGCTTCTGAACGGTACCCTCTTTCAGATTCTGCCCTTAACTTAGGCGCACTGCATATTTCCGAAAGTGATGTAGAAGTAGCCATCTGCTCCATAAAGCACTCTTTTAAATTGGATTCTGATGGCCTCTCAGGTGCTATGCTCAAACGGTGCCCATCGCTTGTTCAGCCATTAACAATATTGTTCAATAAATCTCTTTCGTCTGGCTACTTTATTGACGACTGGAAAAAAGCTTTCATTACACCAATCTACAAAAGTGGGAACAAAAACGACGTTTCGAATTATAGGCCTATTTCCAAACTGGGCACTGTCCCAAAAGTTTTGGAATCAGTTGTCAAACAGAAGCTCAACTTCGCAGTGAAAAGTTTAATTTGCCCTTACCAGCACGGGTTTGTTAGTGGGAGGTCAACTGTCTCCAACCTTGCTACATTCATGGAGGACTGTGTCGCTGCGATGCAGTCAGGTCTACAAGTGGACGCTGTGTACACAGACTTTTCGAAGGCGTTCGATAGAGTTTCGCATAAAGTCTTAATTAACAAGTTATCGCGATTGGGTTTTCACTCAACTTTTCTGGAATGGATTAATTCCTATCTGTCCGATAGGTGTTGTACAGTTGCTTTTGATAACATACTCTCCACTCCCTTTGTAGCTACGTCGGGTGTTCCCCAAGGCAGTATCTTGGGCCCTCTTTTATTTGTCTTATTCATAAATGATATTGGATCATGCTTCCAGTCTTCTAAGTATTTATTATATGCTGACGATCTAAAGGTTTACTCAGTAATCAGAACCTCACAAGACTCTCTTTTGCTGCAAGCTGAGCTTAATAACCTGCATTCTTGGTGCTCTCTTAATTCCTTATCTTTAAATGTTAGTAAATGTTCCTACTCCACTTTCACCAGAAAGCTTCTTACCGTTCAAACTAATTACAATATTGGGGGCCATGAACTCAGTTATGTCGCAGAGGTTAAAGACTTAGGGATTTACTTCGACTCAAAATTAACCTTCGCAACCCATATTAACTACGTAGTTTCCAAAGCTTATGCAATGCTAGCATTCGTACGTCGTAATGGTCAGTTGTTTAAGGATCCCTATACTCTGAAGCTTCTTTATGTCACGTTAGTGAGATCTAGGCTTGAGTATGCGTCTTTCATTTGGCGTCCCTATCAGGCTGTCTATATAAACCGGATTGAGAAGATTCAAAAAGTTTTTATTAAATTTGCCTTGCGTTCTCTAAAATTTTCTGAGCCTATACCTCCGTATACTTCCCGTTGTCAACTTATTAACTTAAGTTCGTTAAATACTAGGCGTTCTTTCCTAGCAGCCTCTTTTGTGGCCAAAATATTGGAGGGCACAGTCGATTGTCCTAATCTTTTGGATAAGTTAGCATTAAACGTCCCGTCTCATAATTTGCGTCGTGTTTCTTTATTCTACCTGGGATTTCCTAAATCTAACTATGTAAAATTCTCGCCTTTGTTCAGAACCCTTTCTGAGCTAAATGAGCTCTCTGAATATGACCCGTCTCTCTCATTTGGAACAGTTCGTTTTGTCCTACTTAATTATTTTAGGTAGTATATAAGCTCTCTTGTTTTATAGTCAGTAAGGATTTATTCCATTTGATTAAATAAATAAAAAAAAAAAAAAAAAAATTTGAGAGATAATGTGTAATACCTTCGCTTGATGCTTGCGACAAAACTGATACCCATCGATTTCTCATTCGGGGGGAGCATTTCCTTCCCTCAACTCTTAGGTCACATCACCTTTGAAAACCTCACGCATATAACGTTCATTTGACCAATCAAAACTGAATCGAACTTAAACAAAGCAGATTCCACAACCTTCAACAAACGACGTTGAATATACCTGGTTTCAGTAGTTTCGTTAAGACCCTCCCGACCACACTAAACACTGTGGCGAATCAGGGAGAGTTATATTGACCATTTCCTTTGCTACTACTGCTGACTCATTTTCATGCTAAACACTGTGGCGAAATGAGACAGTTATATGGACAAATATGAGCCACTATGATTCAGTTGAATCATGTGAGCCTTACTGCCGTCCCTAAATTGGAGCGCTAAGCGTTGCGTTATTCATTGTCGACGAGTGTCAGCGCGCGCTATCCCCAAATCAACGCGTCGTAATTTTTGACGTTTTCTCAGATCCTCTCGTTTTTATTCTCGTTTCCTCTTTCACTTTTTTGTCCTTTCTCTTTCTTTCCGTCTTCCGCATCCAACTTCAACACGTAACGCCCTGTCAAAAATGAAAATTCCATTTGCTCGGCGTTAGCGCCGCGTTATTGTGGGATGCTTCATACAAATTGTATGGGCATGAGGATTTTTGACAGTTGTTTGGCGCTTGACGCGCCAATTTAGGGATGGCAGTTAGGACATCAACTGAGTTACTGAGTTAAACTTTTTTTTGACAGGGAGTCTGAGTTACCGATTCACTGATGGGAATCAACTCAATAACTCAACTCTGAGTTGAGTTACCCACCTCTAATTTGCACATATTCTGCATGTACTCTCATAAAATTAAACAACAATCAATTTTTTATAAAAAAGCTGTAATATACTAAAAGTATTTATTTGTTTGAACGTGCACAATCTAACTGCGCATGTATTGAGTGTAAGTAACGTGTAAATTTAGTGGAAAGTTTAATAACAAATTACTTAAAAACTATAAAGTTGCGCGCTTTGAAACTTCATACAGGAAACTATTAGACCCCCATCTACCTCCCATATTTTCCTTAATGCTGAACTCCGGGGTTAGCAATCTAAAGCCCACCCAGGTATGGGACGACAACTGGCATGGCATCCAGACGGCAATCTGATGGCTTTAGCATTAAGTTGTAACCGCGTTAAGATATTTGACAAAGCTGAAGGCGAGCTAATACAGTGCATTCGTGCATTGTACATTTGTAGCTTGCTGACTTGTAACTCGTAACTAACTCACTTCGCTGTGGCGGCGCCCTTATATACCTGCGCTGGCACTTATGGCAACACTAGAACATTCTGAAGTTTATCGCTCATTCTCTTTCTCTCGCTGTTCGCAGTGTTCATCCACCTTGACGTTTCTCTTTGTGGAACATTCTACGTCATTCTTCGAACATTCTGCCTATTTCTCGTTGTTCGCTTTGTGTTGCCGCAGTATTCGCCACACTGCCCTCCACCTAAGTCTGATCGTCCCGATCAGACACACTTGCCGCTCCAACCGCTGCAAGTCTTTCCAAGTGGACCACTTTCATCTTGGTCCTCGGTCTACCAGCTGTCTGGATTTGATGCACTGCGTCCTTCAGCCGTTTGTCAATCTTCAACGGATCTTTCCAGTCAAGTCCTTGCTTGGAGGTAAAGCTTTTCTTCGGCTGCGGCATGTGCAACAACAATGCGTTACTGGACATTGCTTCCGGCTTATCTCCGGGAGTGCACCATCTCACATGGTCGTGCTTCTGCCGGCCACTGGTGGTGACCAGACCATGTCTCTTTTCGTGGGCACCCTTTTCGGATCTATCCCGCGTCATCTGTCCCTGACACCCTGACTCCCGTCGTCGTCCGCAGCTGCTAGCTTCATTGACCGGACATGTATAATCTCAACCTTGGCTTCCGGCTTAACTGCTCGCTTTTGCCGACCACCTTTTTCAGGACACTTCAAACCGCGCCTACTGCTACCACAGCCGCTTCCATTTCCGGCCACCGGCGTATCACCATTGCAACGTGGTTCAGTGGCTTTCCTCCTGCCGGAAACACTGCATGGCTCGCCATGACCACTTCCTTGTTGCGACCTCTTCTTCACTGAGCTATCGGAACCGTCACGCTTTTCCTGTATCAGTGAACCGCTTCCTTCTCCTGATAAAACCACTCCGTCTCCATCACTGCCAACCTCCGCCCAACTAACCGCTTCTGTTTCTGGTGGAATCTTCGGCACTTCCTCTAAGACCAACCGTCTGCTGAAGCACTGGTTGTCGTAACCAACCCTAAGTGGCACTTTCCTGTCGCCATAGGTTAGGATCATTCCCTGGAGGTCAATCTTCATGCCTTGCCCAAGTAGGAAATCCACGCCGATGATGACTTCATCCACGATGTCTGCGACAATAAACTTCGTGTACGAGGCCAACCCGTCGATTATTACCTCGCATAGTACTTCTCCTAACACTTGGGTTCGCTCACCAGTTGCAGTCTGCAGCTTTGCTCCAGGTAGTGGCTTCACATAAAAAGTAGTCACATCAGGTCGAATAATGGAATGTGACGCTCCAGTATCCACTGTCAGCACTCGCTCCTGCCCATTCACGCATCCACCAATAGTGAGGTTGCTCGCATTCCGGCCAATTTGTGAGACGGAGATTATGGGCCCTTCAACTTCTGGAGCCAGCACGCGGCCCTTCCTGCTGGCACGTTTTAGTTT